ACGACTCCATTCTGCTGTGGGGATCTTGGGACTGTGAGAAACCTGCGAATTCCTTGATATTCACAGAACCTTCTGAACTTCTTCAGCATAAATTCTCCACCTCTATCTGATCGCATTGCTTTGATGTAGCGGCCACTTTCATTCTCTACGAGCATCTTGAACTTCTTGAAAGCTTCAAATGTGTCTGACTTCTGCTTCAAGAAGTAAACCCATGTCTTTCTGCTGTAATCATCAATGAACAGTAGGAAGTATTTGTTCTTCCCGAACGATGTTGGGGTGATCGGTCCACAGGGATCTGCATGGACGAGCTCAAGTGGTGCTTTATCTCGTGACATGGATTCCTTCGGGAAACTTGCCCTGAATTGCTTTCCAACTAAGCATCCTTCACACAATTGGTCTGGATGATTGATCACTGGAAGACCATGCACCATTTTCTTCTGACCGAGTAACTTGAGACCTCCAAAATTTAGATGGCCATACCTCAGATGCCATAGCCATGTATTGTCCTTCACACACGCTTTCAAGCACTTAGCCATTTCTGTCTGAATGTTCAGTGTGAACATTCTGTTTTTCGACATTGGGACTCTGGCCAACAACTGCTTCTTCTCATTTAACAGCTCCAATTGACGATTCACCATATGGACTTCGTAATTCTTCTCCATCAGCTGACCCAAACTCAGGATGTTACTAGTCATGTCCGGGACATAGTACACATCACTGATAGATTGCTGTGAGCCATTCTTGAGTCGGATGAGTATAGTTCCTCTGCCTTTGATAGGAACCTTCGAGGAATCTCCAAATACGACATTTCCTTTCACTGACTCATCCATATCCACGAACATGTTTCTTTCTCCACACATGTGGTTGCTCGCTGCATTATCCAGATACCACATGTTGTCTCTCGGTTTTTCATCTCCTTGATGTGACGGCATCAATGTGCCTTTGACTTCTTCTTGCACGTTGTTTGCCGTCTCCTCTACTTCTTTAGGCGGACTCCAACACTCCGATGAATAATGCCCGTACTTCGAGCAATTATAGCACTGGACGTTGGATTTATCACGACCTTCATTTGATCTCCAACTTCCTCTTCCACGTCCACGACCACGACCTCTGCCTCTGGTGGACGTTTCATAATTGTTCGTGGTGAAATTTCCTCCGTCTCTGCTTTGATATGCTCCTCGGGCTCTTCGTCTTCCTCTGCCTCTGTAGCTGCCTCTACCTCGACCTCTGTTGTAACCTCCTCCTCGTGCGCCTTCTTTCTCCTCCGTGGTAGCTTTTGTAGCTAACACTTGTTCTGACGATTCTTCATTTCTTTTATTTAATCTTTCTTCTCTGGCTTGTAATGAACCGATGACTTCATCAACCGTCATTTTTGACACGTCCTTAGCTTCTTCCATGGCCACCACCACATAGTCAAACTTTGGTAATAATGACCGTAGAATTTTCTCCACCACTTTGGTCTCTTCAATTTTCTCCCCATACTGCTTCAGTTTGCTGACGACTGACTTCACACGGGCGGTGTAATCTGAAACAGATTCACCTTCCTTCATTTTAATGGCTTCAAAATCTCCCCTTAGTGTCTGAAGTCGAACCTTCTTCACTGGTTCCACGCCTTGCATTTCTTTTTGCAAAATCTCCCATGCTTCCTTTGTTGTGGTAGCATCTGCTATTTGATCGAACATCGATTCATCAAGACACTGATGAATGAGAGTGAGTGCTTTCTGATCACTCTTTCGATTCTTTCTCAACACCTCCTTTTCACCAGGAGATAACCGAGAATCCTTCACGGGAATCTCGTAGCCTTTTTCGACAATATCCCAAGCATCTTGGGATCCAAGCAAGGTTTTCATACGAATGCACCAATTTTTATAATTGGTTTTGGTAAGGTGGGGGAATTGAATGGGGAAAGTGGATTTTTCGGCTATGGGACAATCGTGATAACAATAGCACGAGAAATTCTTTTCTGATGTGGAAGTTCAGACTACGCCGCAACCACAGAGCATACTCGGAAATAACTCGGGCTCTGATACCACTTTGTTGGAAATAACAAATTATTTCCTTTAGTAATTTTGGTGGGCACGTAGAAGAGAGTAATGGGAAGCTTTGATTGGTGGGAAATGGGACGAGAAAACTTGGCAGAGAGAATTTGGTGGAAAAGCTCTTTCTTTCTAATTTGCTTCTTTCTTATTTTTTGGTCTAGATATCATTAATTAAACTTTATTTTTTAATTTCAACAATTGCAAGGTATGTACGATGGAAGCTACCGTTGTTGGGTTCAGAACAGCACTGCAACAACACTTTCCTCAACTACGGGTAATTACTTCCAATTTACCTTTTTTCCGAAGCTTATCTTCTCTGCCATTGTGTCCCTGCCTACATGCTAACGTACTTCCTCGCTTAATAATCTGAACACCTATTAAGTATGTGTTGCTTCTAATTTGTTGAGAATTTTTTTTTTCCCCCGTACTCTCCTCAAGCTAAACTTAAACCCCTGTGTGAAGTTAGCCATGCATGTTGTGCTATGGCAGAGAGAGAGTCATGTTATTCTCTCGATTTCCTTGTGTGGTGTGGCTTCTAATATTTTGTCTTCCATCTCATGCATGTTGTGGTGGATTGGTTTGTTTGCTTGCTGAAGCAACAGAAGGAGCAGAAGAACGCCAACTTTTGGTTGAGCATTCTGGTCCTAGGAGGAAGAACAACAGGTCGGCAACAGCATTACAGTCCAAGCGTTGCGTCCGCAGAGGCTTAGGGAAAGGTGGCTTGGGAATGGGGACAGAATCCACGGTGGAGTCTCAAAGATGAATATATTTTTTTCCAAAAATAATATAGTAAATTTAAAATGATACATAAAATATGATAGTATTTATAAATCACCGTTATCAAACAAATTGGATGCATAATATATGCAAAGTTACATATTAGAACTAATGTTTACAAACGACACATTTACTAAAGTTACAACCTATAATCAAAATGTTTACTAAGTTACAAATTGAAAGGTTATAAATTGAAATTACAATTTTTATAGACATTGCAAACCAACTAACAAAGGTTACAAATGCGACAGTACAAATCAATGACTCAAAATGACTAACTGAAAATTGTACACCAAAATCTTCCAAATGTCGACATAAAGAAACTCTCTATCTCGCTTAATTTTCAGCCATCGTCTTGCCATTGGTGAACAAAATCACTCTCCCTCTCTCACGAATTCACACAAATAAAAATCATATAAAATATATATTTTCATTTCAGTAGCACCAAATGTGCTTTGTACAAAATGTATCGGTACACAGCAACGATATATGCACAATGAAGTGCAATGAGCGGGAATTCTGCAGTACCGTGACAGTACCCATGCCGCCACTCTCTGACCGGGTGTTCCCGGTTTTATCTTGCAAAAACGTGAAAATTTTAGGTAAAAGGGAAAACATTACTTCTCATATTTAAGGAACTTCAAAATGTTTTATAAAATAAATTAACTGTCACTTACCTAATATAAGTATTCAACATTTTACATAGTTGAATATAAAATGAAAAAAATTATAACATATATTTTGATTATGTAGTTCATTTGTCAATTTCTCCTCTATAATATAGATTTAATTTAATACTAAAATTTTATGAGATGTTACTCTATCTATAGTCAATTTTGTGATTTTGATTTATCCCATTCATTAAGTTTTTCTCTATAAATATGCAGTTAGTTTTGTTTATGTTTCCTTTTCAATCTTGTACCGACAATCCCAAAAGCCACACCTGACATGTCTTAACAGACAATGAATCGCAAAACTTGTATGGAGGAACATAAAATTATGCGATGTTTTAAATGGTTTGTCACTTTCTGCAGCTAATCATTTCCGATGGCCAACATAGGGAGGCAGATTCTTACCCGCGGCAACAATCTCTTTGAAAGAGAGCCTACTAGGTTTTCGACCTCAATATTTCCTTCTAGTAAGTGGACCACGCCTCCTTCGAAGGGCATATTTTCTTGCTCATAAATGCTATAGGGTGTCCCTGCTAGGACAAGACCGCCCCGATCCCCTTCCCGGATGCATCCGTCTCGATGTCGAATGGTTGTGAAAAATCTGGTAACGCCAATGTCGGGGTCGTAGTCATGGCCGTCTTCAAGGCCTGGAATGCCTCCTCTGCTCTAGGATTCCAGCCGAATCCTCCCTTCTTCGACTGTTCCGTCAGTGGTCGAGCTATTAAACTGTATTTTTTCACAAACCTCCTGTAATAGCTGGTCAACCCGAGAAACCCCCGCAGCTCAGTCACTGACTTCGAAGTAGGCCAGTCCACCATTGCCTGGATCTTGGATGGATCTGCTCTCACCCTCTGATAGGATATCACGTGCCCCAAATAGTCAACCTCGGTCACCCCAAATGCACACTTCGACTCCTTTACGTAGAACTGGTTTGCTCTCAAAATCTCGAACACCTGCTGTAATTGCTGCAAATGTTCTTCCTAGGTGCGACTGTAGACTAATATATCATCGAAGAAAACCAGTACAGACCTGCGCAGTAGCGGTCTGAAGATGTCGCTCATAGCAGCCTGGAAAGTAGATGGGGCGTTGCACAACCCAAACGGCATCACCAGGTACTCATAGTGCCCGCTATGTGTGCAAAAGGATGTCTTATGAACGTCCTCTTCGTGCATCCTGATCTGATGATATCCCGCTCGCAGGTCCAACTTCGAGTAGTACCGAGCTCCCCGAAGTTCATCTAACATATCCTCCATGGTCGGAATAGGAAACCTATACTTGACGGTGGCTTCATTCAGAGCTTGATAATCTGTGCAGAACCTCCAAGTGTCATCTTTCTTCTTTACCAACAACACTGGAGAAGAGAAAGGGCTCGAGCTCAGCCTCACCAATCCCGTCTCCAACATTTTGCCTACCTGTTTCTCGATCTCTAGCTTCTATGAATGGGCATACCGGTACGGACGGATATTGACCGCGTCCGTGCCTTCCTTAAATCTGATCCGATGGTCCACCTGGTGGCTAGGAGGTAGTTGCCCTAGTGTCTCGAACAGGTCGTGATAGCTTTCCAACAAACTCTGCATTTTTCGGAAGCTCGCTCTGGACCACGGGCAGCCCCCATCGGTCAGCATAGCACAACCACCACCTCTTCCTCTAGAGACTGCAGCTCTTCCCAACTCAGCGGACCCTCCACCATCGTCATCCCTTTCAATTCCCACTCCTTGTCCCTCCATTTAAACCGCATCGTCATCCTGTTTCAATCACTCACAACCGGACCCAACTTCGGAGCCAAGGGACTCCCAAAATCACATCAAACCCTTGCAAGGGCAAAACATTCAAGTCCACTATTCCCTTGAGTCCCTGTATCCGCAAGGACACCCCGCAGTGTTGCGGGTTACATCTCAGCTCAGCTCCATTGGCTGCCCGGACCGTGAATGCCCTCACCCTCGTCGCCTCCTGCTTGAAAGTCGCCCCGAAGCCTTTGCCGACGAAGTTTAGGGAGGCGCCGTTGTGGACCAGCGTGATCGCCGGTCTGCCCTCCACCTCAGCGCTGAAATGCAGCGTCCCGGAGGAAGCCACGCCCGTCGCCGCGTCGGCGGACATCACCGCCGCCGTCTCGCCCGCCGGATGGGCCGCCGCCTCCTCCGCCGTCGGGTCCGAACGCGGCCCACCTAGCCACCAACCGATCAACCTCCTCCTTCCATTGGTGCAGCGATTCCCTATATGAGAGCTCTGATGAACTCATCTCGTAGCAGGCTCTGATACCACTGTTAGAATCCTTGATAAATGGAAGAAAATGGGAGATAGATAGAGAAAGAATTGAGAAATTAGGGTTTGAGAATGAGGAGAATTGGGGAAGAACAGAGAAGATTAGAGAGATTGGGGGATTAGGGATTTGGATAATAATTCTTGTCTGCCCTCAAAATAAAACGAGAGAATGTTTAAATAGTTCAGCCTGTACCATCTATTCTACCTGAGTTCAACCCCAAGAACCCGACCCGACCCCTCGGCCCAACCCTTACGCAGGTTTCTAACATAGTCAACGGAGGCAGGATTTGACTCTATCCCTATACTCTTTTTATAATATAAATATTTAATAAATATAATTAAATACAAAATATTTCATTACCCACTAATGCAATTACTGTTTTGATTCGACAAATAATTCATTACCGACTAATACAATTATTGTTTGTATAAACAACCACGACGAGTTTTCATATTATGAAATAAATACAAAATATATTCATTGTTTACACTCTTAAGTGAGTCTCTTTCAATGTATGCCACTAAACAATCATTAACAAACTTTGAAACTTGTTCTTAATTTAGCTTAATCTAAAAATGCTCTTTCTACATTTACAATTGCAACTAGTAGAATCAAAACTAGTTTCAGAAGCAAATAAGCTGATTGATATAGCTTATACACTTTTGCCTCCATCATGATCCGAGATAATTTATCAATTATTTTCAATCCAACAAATCTCTTATCGGTCATAACATAACGATAATACCCAATAAGTTTGTTCTCGCAGCCTGCTGTTGGATCTATTCAACTTGCCCATTGCTATCCCTTTTAGGTCAATGGATTTTCCTTCCATCCAATCCATCTTTGGCCTGTAAGTTCAAATTGTTTTCCACCCAATAACTCCTGTAGAAACCTTCCACGATGTCTCTACGGTTTGTCCTGCTATCTTTGGCCTTGCACTTGCGTTGTCTCTTCACTCATTATCTGCTTTGTCTGTTGTTGCTTTTATTTAATTAACGAAACCATTGTCGGGCCTATTGCTCTCTCTAATATCATGTTGTGTTTCATGAAAGTAGATGATTACAATTATCCAATATTAAGAAGGACCAAAAGCAGCAAGTAGGGGGTGGCAGTTCGGTTGTCGGTTAGCGGCTAACCGGTCGGCTTGACCGATAACCGTTGGTTAGCGGCTAATCGATAACCGCCCTTTACTTATAGCGATCGATTGGCAGAAGGCCTGAGGGGTGCTTCGGTTAGTCGAATAACCGAAAACTGGTTACTCGGCTAACCGAAGGTAACCGACCTTCGCGCATGCTGCTCCAAATCGTCCCCGCTTCCATTCCCAGAACCCCTCCCCCACACGTCCACACACACAAACGAAACATAACCCCTTCCCCGAAAACCCTAATTCCCAAAACAAAAAAACTTTCCTTCCTTTATCCCCGCGACGCGCCGCGCCTCTCCGGATCTCCCCGCGCCACGCCTCTTAGGAGACCAGATCGTCGGCCGTCCCCCCTGCCTCGGCTTCCTTCATCTCCGCCATCGCTCGTCCGCCACCACCATCGTCGTCGAGAGCAGGCGAGACGCAAGACCATGGCGCCTTCTTCTCTTCCATCACAAGCGAGACTCGTCGCGATTCACCGCTCGTCCGCCACCACCAGTCACCACCATCGGTTCCGCCGCGCCTCCATTCCCCTGGCGAGTGCTGCTTCTTCTGGTTTAAAATGGAGAGATGGACGGAGAGAGAAGGAAGGAGAGAGGTAGGAGAGGCTTAATAGATCTAAACTCTAGAGAAGGGAGGAGAGTCTCAACATATCTAAAATGGAGGGGAAGGGAGGAGAGAGAAGGAGAGAACGGGGAGGCGTAGTGGCTCTAAAAAAAATTAATAATTTTTAATTAATTAAATGTCAATATTTTGGAGAGAAGGGTAGGTTTTTCAGTTGGCCGGCTAAAACCGAAAACGACCTGTCGGTTGGCCGACTAACCGAGCCTAAAACCGAAACTGACCTGTCGGTTGGCTAGCCAACCACGACTCACTCACGGTCAGTGGTCGGCAGCCATAGGGGGTGGCTCGGTTTAACCGATAACCGAGAATTGGTTTTTGATTAAACTGAAACCGACTGACACCCCTAGAAGCAAATATGCAGAAAGTTCCGAGGCAAACCAAAAGGAAGGGATGAAGGGAAAGGAACTGGAGACAAGGAGATGGTCAATGTCAAAGAAAGAAAGAAACGAAGTGACAAGTTTTGTGGGTATCTAGGTATTTAGCAACTCCTATCTTCCTTCGGTACAAGTTCAAAACAATTTACAGCTGCACTTGATATGGGTGTCACTTATCTCCCCATTTATTGAGCTTAGTTTTGTTTTAGAGCTTTTTATACGGTTGTCGTCTTTGTGCTCTTATTTTGTTGTCGTGCAGATTTATGGAGTTACCACGATTCACATGGATTTTAGATGATGAAATTCAGACAGTCAATCATCGCATTCCTCATCCAAGGGATTGGCAGTGGGTGCAATCATAGGGGTAAGTCTAGGATCTTCCTCTCTTACATCATAAACCATTGTTTGTCTTCTTATTCTGCATGCTATAAAAAAAACCTACATATAGATTTGGTTTTCCTTGTTGTAATGATATCTATCTTATCCATCTTAGAATGAGGTTCCTTACTATTGTGTGAAGTTCAGAGTGTATGTAATCATTGGCTTACATGTGATGACTGCCCAATGCGAACTTCTGGGATTGCCATTCACCTGAGTGTACAGCTACTGAAATGTTTGTGAGCATTAGTTCACTGTGGGTTCCATTTTTGTTAATAGCCCTCTTCAGTTTGAATCCACAGAATCAATTGATTTATCCGAGTCTTTTACGCTAATTTATGTTTGGTTTTATAAGAGTTAGACAGGATCAACCAAAATGATGTTCAGTGTGCCTCTATATCAAGCAATTCTTGCACCAGCAAAGGAATGGATATCATGTTCTCCGCGGATGCAGTTTAGTTTTGTGCAAAGTTAATCTTGAATGTCTGGTTTCATATGTTTTGAATCCACTTTTCCCTTTTTGTATCTGATTTATTTTTTGGATGGAGGTTACAATGAGAATTTGAGGCTATCTTGCTTTGGCCTAAAGGAGTAGTGGACCACAGTCAAGGTGAAAGAGCTGCACCATAAAAGAAGTCCCCCTGCCATCATGAGTACTGAACGAACTGGTGAGCCATATTCTGGTTTCTTTAGTTCACTTTATATTTATGGTCACATCATGCAAATGATTGGTTAGTGGGTCATTTGGTTATTGTCTTTTAGTTTGGTGGTTCTTTTTTGTTCCTCTGATTGCTTGCTTCGTTTAATCGCGGATTGTTGCGTTGTGTCTGCTGCTCGACTTTGCTTTGTTTTTTTGTAGCGTGCCGCTCTAGGTTTTTTTTTGTTTTGCTCCCATGATTGCTTGCTTCGTTTAATTGCGCGCTTGTTGCGTTGTGTGTGTTGCTCGACTTTACTTTCTTCTTTTTTTTTGGCGCACCGCTCTAGAATTGTTGTTCCCGGTTTCTTTGTTGTTTTCTAGCTTTAATTTTGCTTTGCTCGATTTCTTATCTTTTGTTCCGGTTGTTATTGTCTTTTAGTTTGGTGGTTTTTTTTGTTCCTCTGATTGCTTGGTTCGTTTAATCGCGGATTGTTGCGTTGTGTCTGCTGCTTGACTTTGATTTGTTTTTTTTTTTTGTAGCGTGCCGCTCTAGGTTTTTTTTTGTTCCTATGCTTGCTTGGTTCGTTTAATTGCGTGCTTGTTGCGTTGTGTCTGTTGCTCGACTTTACTTTCTTTTTTTTAGCGCACCGCTCTAGAATTGTTGTTCCCGTTTTCTTTGTTGCTTTCTAGCTTTAATTTTGCTTTCCTCGATTTCTTATCTTTTGTTTCGGTTGTATTCGTTTCCTTCCGTATTTTTGTGTTGTCTGCCTGTTGTCCAACTTCGATTTTCTGGGTTGTGAACGCAACACGCACTAAATAGTGCTTTGTCTGTACGAGTGTCAATGCTGCTTCCTTTTTTTCTTTTGTGCCTTTATCCTTGCTTTACTTCTCCTGCGAAAGCGTAAGACACAAACCAACCATCCTTCGCATTTGTTGTTGCCAGTTGTTTTTTTGCTTTCCTACCTTTTTCCTTTTTTCGATTTATGTATGAAATCGCTCTGTTAAATACTTTTACTTAATGGCGGATGCTTGGTCAGTGATGTTTTTTTTTTTGCCTCATGCTTAAACGTGTTTTCTTCTTATTAAAGAACAAGTAAGATGTTACTATTACTTATAGTCACATCATGCAAATGATTGGTTAGTGGGTCATTTGGTTATTGTCTTTTAGTTTGGTGGTTCTTTTTTGTTCCTCTGATTGCTTGCTTCGTTTAATCGCGGATTGTTGCGTTGTGTCTGCTGCTCGACTTTGCTTTGTTTTTTTGTAGCGTGCCGCTCTAGGTTTTTTTTTGTTTTGCTCCCATGATTGCTTGCTTCGTTTAATTGCGCGCTTGTTGCGTTGTGTGTGTTGCTCGACTTTACTTTCTTCTTTTTTTTTGGCGCACCGCTCTAGAATTGTTGTTCCCGGTTTCTTTGTTGTTTTCTAGCTTTAATTTTGCTTTGCTCGATTTCTTATCTTTTGTTCCGCTTGTTATTGTCTTTTAGTTTGGTGGTTTTTTTTGTTCCTCTGATTGCTTGGTTCGTTTAATCGCGGATTGTTGCGTTGTGTCTGCTGCTTGACTTTGATTTGTTTTTTTTTGTAGCGTGCCGCTCTAGGTTTTTTTTTGTTCCTATGCTTGCTTGGTTCGTTTAATTGCGCGCTTGTTGCGTTGTGTCTGTTGCTCGACTTTACTTTCTTTTTTTTAGCGCACCGCTCTAGAATTGTTGTTCCCGTTTTCTTTGTTGCTTTCTAGCTTTAATTTTGCTTTCCTCGATTTCTTATCTTTTGTTTCGGTTGTATTCGTTTCCTTCCGTATTTTTGTGTTGTCTGCCTGTTGTCCAACTTCGATTTTCTGGGTTGTGAACGCAACACGCACTAAATAGTGCTTTGTCTGTACGAGTGTCAATGCTGCTTCCTTTTTTTCTTTTGTGCCTTTACCCTTGCTTTACTTCTCCTGCGAAAGCGTAAGACACAAACCAACCAT